TGCGAGCCACTCCCGGGGGTCCGGGTTGGCTAAAGCAAGTGCTGGGCATGTGACAAGGGCCAAATAGGTGTTAGCCCTGCAGCTCGTGGTTCAGTTCCCGCTGCTCCAGCGATCGCAGGTCCTGTCTCCACTACCCGGCCACCGAGGTAGGGGAGGGCGGCTACAGTCCCTCTCTGGGCATTTCCTCGCTGTCTCGCTCACTAACTGCCCTCCTGGGGAAATAAGCAGAAGTGCCCGGGTACAGGGAGTGGGAGTGAGGGCGGTGAGCGATCATTCCGATTGTTACTTCTCAACTTCCTGCTTCTGGAACACACCAGAGTTGACCCTGGGGCTGGGGCCGGTGAGGAAGTGGGTGATCACGGCTTCTCCACCGATTTAGAGCTGTGATAAAATTGGTACCGACGCTCACACCGCTCAGACCCGCAGGCTGTGTGAACTGGAGTGTGTATGTGCTGAGAGAGGGGAGAGGTCATGGAAGCCAGCAAGGAGCAGCTGTGCAGTGGGAGCGGGGAGGGAGGGGTGGAGGCGGGAGGAAGAAATCCCATGCGTGGAGTTGCCTGCCTCCCTCTGGTCCAGCTCCTTCCTCAGTGTCTGGCTAACGCCCCCGTGATGGGTTATGCCCCTTGTCCCTGAAAAGAGCTAATCACAGTCTCCCAACTGCACGGGTCAATGTGGCGGAGGCCAGCCATTCCCATGTCCCTTCAGCCCCCTTCCGATGCCAAGGGACCTTGTTGACGTCTGCTCAGATGAAAACAGTTGATACTGTCCTTATAAAGAAGGGAACACGTACTTAGCATGGGCTTACCGCAGGCGGGCACGCTTCTTAAACACGTAATCCCATGTGGCAGCTCCAGTCCTTAGCACAGATTCCCAGGTGAGGGAACCGTCACTCACGAGGTCAGTAACGAGCACACATTTACACTGCGGGGGAGGGGCAAGGCCAGGTTCCTCCCGGGCCTTCCAGCTCTGCACTGGGCCACCATGCGTCCTGGCCTCTCCCTAAGGGGATGGCCTTCCTCGGAGGTGGTGGGCTCCCCGTCCCTGAGGATGGCAGGCATCAGTCACTGAGCTGCACAGACATCTCTTCCAGGTGTTAGTGTGTCCTCTGTATCCACTCAGAGCTGAGCACCCGCCAGCACCTCTCATGTCACGCTCCTGCCATCCCTGCCTCCTGGAGCGTCACCCCACTTCACAGGCGAACGAATTGAGATTCAAGAGACTGAATAGTGGCTGAGGCCGCAGGGCTGGGAATCCAGCAGGACTGCCCACCCCGAGCCTGAGCTCGTTTCCAAGGGATTAACTTCAGGAGGGCTGGGTTGGACTAGTTAACTGTGATGGTCCTGGCTGTTGGACCAGTTACTGCGATGGTCCTGGCTGGGCTGGACCAGTTACTGCGATGGTCCTGGCTGGGTTGGACCAGTTACTGTGATGGTCCTGGCTGGGTTGGACTAGTTAACTGCGATGGTCCTGGCTGGGTTGGACCAGTTACTATGATGGTCCTGGCTGGGTTGGACTAGTTAACTGTGATGGTCCTGGCTGGGTTGGACCAGTTACTATGATGGTCCTGGCTGGGTTGGACCAGTTATTGCGATGGTCCTGGCTGGGTTGGACCAGTTACTGTGATGGTCCTGGCTGGGTTGGACTAGTTAACTGCGATGGTCCTGGTTGGGTTGGACCAGTTACTATGATGGTCCTGGCTGGGTTGGACTAGTTAACTGCGATGGTCCTGGTTGGGTTGGACCAGTTACTATGATGGTCCTGGCTGGGTTGGACTAGTTAACTGCGATGGTCTTGGCTGGGTTGGACCAGTTACTATGATGGTCCTGGCTGGGTTGGACTAGTTAACTGCGATGGTCTTGGCTGGGTTGGACCAGTTACTATGATGGTCCTGGCTGGGTTGGACTAGTTAACTGCAATGGTCCTGGTTGGGTTGGACCAGTTACTATGAAGGTCCTGGCTGGGTTGGACTAGTTAACTGTGATGGTCCTGGCTGGGTTGGACCAGTTACTGCGATGGTCCTGGCTGGGTTGGACCAGTTATTGTGATGGTCTTGGCTGGATTGGACCAGTTACTGTGATGGTCCTGGCTGGGTTGGACTAGTTAACTGCGATGGTCTTGGCTGGGTTGGACCAGTTACTATGATGGTCCTGGCTGGGTTGGACTAGTTAACTGCGATGGTCCTGGTTGGGTTGGACCAGTTACTGCGATGGTCCTGGCTGGGTTGGACCAGTTATTGTGATGTCCTGGCTGGGTTGGACTAGTTACTGCGATGGTCCTGGACGGGCTAAGATCTCAAGGGACTAAACATCGGACGCATAAAGGGGCAAACTCGTAAGCAGCGCTGCTATAACCAGTGGCTAGGCCAAACATACTAGTCATCACATTTCTGCTTTTATATTTAAGGAAATATTTCTCTTCCAAGGCTCCCAACCCCTGAAAGAAAAGCTGCCCAAGGAGCAAAGAGTAAGTGGGCTTTAAAGTATCTGCTCTCTCTGGTGGACCAACCCCTCCTGGGCTCCACAGAAACAGGAACCATCTGTCCTGTGGCACCACCATCGCCCTCATCCAGGGTCCCCATTTGACACCCCAATCCGGCACCAGCACACCAAGCAGGTCCCCCCATGGAGCCAGAGCTCCGTGTTTGGGGCTGTCTCGCTGGCCTCACCGGTGGCACTATGCACCGGGGTCAGCCTGGCTCCCTGACTCTCCTTCTTTCCTTGGCTCCTGTTCATGCTCCATCCACCATTCATCAGGGAGGGTCTCCGTCTGTCTCCAGTGTGGACTTCTCTGACTTCCGGACTCACAAACCTGACCATCGGCTAGACGTTCCCTTGGATGCCTCATAGGCATTTCAAACTGCGGTGGGCATTTTCTCTGTTTTCCTGAGTGGAGGAGCACAGACAACACACACATTTATTGGTTTTCAAAGGGGAGTTTAATGTCAAAAGGAGTTTCGGGTGTGCCCAGATCCTTTCATCAAGATCTGGGTAAGCTTGCCGAAACCGGTTTGGCTAAGTGGATAGAGCGTCGGCCTGTGGACTGAAAGGTCCCAGGTTCAATTCTGGTCAAGGGCATATACCTTGGTTGTGGGCACATCCCCAGTAGGGGGTGTGCAAGTGGCAGCTGGTCGATGATTCTCTCTCATCGATGTTTCTATCTCTCTATCCCTCTCTTCCTCTCTGTAAAAAAAAAATCAATAAAATATATTTAAAAAAAAAGATCTGGGTAAGCTCCTCATTTTTTGGTACAAGATTTAGCATATCAAGATCTGGGTAAGTCAAGATCCTATTTGTTCCTCATCCCAAGCACAGGGATAAAGATAAGAAATCAGTACTGATAACAGGATTCTGCCAGCGCCCTTGGGTTCAGCTGATAAGAATTAAAAGAATGCTCCAGTGGCTCTCTACAACACTAACGTAGTGTATCCCATAATGAATCCCTCACCTCCCACCCTCCCCATAACGCACTCCCCACCTGGTCTCCCTAGTTGAGGGCCACTCCACCTTCCCAAGTGCTCAGGCTCCAATTAACCTGCCAGCGGGGCCTCCGGGCCAGAATCCAGCCAATTCTGCCCATTCCCTCTGCCGCCACCCAGGATCACCATCTCTCCTCCCTGGATCACCATTTCTCCTCCCTGGATCACCATCTCTCCTCCCTGGATCACCATCTCTCCGCAGCCTCAAGGGCACCGCCTGCTCTGCCTAATCTAACAGCACCACCGGCCAGGCGGGCATAGGAAGCCGGGCAGGTAATGGCTCTCCTCTAGTGCAAGCTCTCCAGTGGTTCCTCCCAGTGGAACTCAAACTCTCTCACTGGGCCCTTCTAGCCTCCTCCTATATCCCCCCCCCCCCCCCCCCCCCCCCCCATATATCTCCTGTTTCCCCCAGGCTAGCTCTGCTCCAGCTCCCCTATCTCCAGGCCATTCCTCATTCCTCGGGGCCACACTCTCTCCCCTCTGGCCCCAGCTCCTCTGGCTTTTCTCTCCCAGGAGAAGAGTGCTCCTCCCCTCCCCACCGCTCCTGCCTCCCTCACTCCCTTTAGCTCTTGGCTCAAATGTCACTTTCTCAGTGACCTGTGTCCTGACCCCTGTAGTGAACACCCCTCCCCACATTCCCTGTTTCCCTCTTCTCCACGCACCCAGGGTTCACCTAACTTCCTCCTCTATCACTTAGTTTCCGTCTCTCTGCTAAAGTGTAAGGTCTTCCCAGCCGGTTTGGCTCTGGATAGAGCACAGGCCTGTGGACCAAAGGGTCCTGGGTTGAATTTCTGGCAAAGGCAAGTACCTGGGTTGCAGGCTCCTCCCTGGCCAGGCCCTGGTCTGGCCTCCTGCAGTAGGCACCCAATCCATGGGTTTCTCTCACATGGATGTTTCTGTCTTTCCTTCTCTTTGCTATGCTCCCTAAAAACCAACGGGAAAGTATCCTCCGGGGAGGATTAAAAACAAAGTAAGGCATGGTTGTGTGGGTTTTGCTCAGTCCTCTCCCCAGAGCCAGGCTCTGTAGCAGGTGCTCCCTGTTTTCCCAGGACTCAGTGTGTGCACTCGCTTAGGGGCAGCACCGCGGGCTGAATTAAGGATCCACACATGGGCCACCACAGGCTGAAGGGGGAATCCCTCCGGAGGCCGGCGCAGCGGGGAGGACGGGGCGGGGCGGAGCAGGGGCGGGCGGGCGGCCGGGAGGGAGCTCGGCCTCGCGGTGACCTGCCCGCGGGTTGTGTAACCTCCTGAACTTCCGCTCCCTGCGGGGATCCTGGCTGCACCTCGGGGCAGGCCTTGCAGGGCCTGAGGCGCCCTGGGGTGGCTCGGCGGCCGTCCTCAGAGGGCGGGGAGGCGGGCGCACAGAGGAGGAAGCGGAGGTGCCGGGAGCAGGTGGGCGAGAAGCGGCGGGGAGGGCGTGCCCGGAGGATCGGCCCGAAGGGGACGGAGCTGGCGGGGCCCCAGCGGGCGGGGCGGGCGGAGGTGTGCCCGGGGCGGGGCGGACGGCACCTATAGGTGTCCCCGGGCCCAGCAGCCGCACTCACGGCGGGAGCTCCCGAGGCCGGTCAGGCTCAGCACCCAGCCGCCCTCCGAGGCTCCGCTCCCCGCGCCCTGCGCCCTCCTGCCTGTCCGCCTCCAGCAGCACAGCCGGCCCCAGCATGACGGACCAGTCGACCTTCGACACCAACATCGTCACCCTGACCCGCTTCGTCATGGAGGAGGGCAGGAAGGCCCGCGGCACCGGCGAGATGACCCAGCTGCTCAACGCGCTCTGCACCGCGGTCAAGGCCATCTCCACGGCCGTGCGCAAGGCGGGCATCGCGCACCTGTGAGTCAGCCTCCCGCCCCTGGGGCACCCGGCGGCCTGTCTGTCTGTCTGTCTGTCTGTCAGCTGGGAATGTGCTGACCAATGTGCTGACCGTCTGATGTCTGGTTCCAGGCCTGCCCTCATGCTGGCAGCCTGTGTCTGTCTGAGCTGGGAGGCTGGCCTGGCCGCGTTCTCTTCCTCCTTTCCTCCCTCTCCTGCTCCCTCCCTTGAAGTTGGTTCCCCTTCTCTTGAGCTTGGAGGTGCCCACGCGGGGGCCTGTCACCCCAGCCACACCTGCCGCTATCCTGCAGCCCTTTCAGTGGCTGATCCGCCTGCCCTGCTTGGCACCCCTGTCAGCTTCCTCCTGGTGGAAGTGGCTGGCGGGTGGGCACCTGGCCTACTGGCCCTACACATCCAGCCTCACTCAGGAAAGTGCGGCACCGAACCTTCTTTTCCCTTTCTCTTCTTTACCTCCTTCACGCCCTTCGGATTTGGGATCTCAAGTTGGGTTCAGGCTCAAGTATCACCTGAGCCTGAGCAGGTCCTGTCAGGAGCCAGGGAGGCCCGGCAGGAAGCGGGCAGCAGAGCTCCCAGGAGCAGCAATGCCGGTGCGGAGGGGCAGCAGGCCACGGAGGCCTGAGACCTGCATGTTAGGAAGTTCTTCAGTGGTGCCCATGTCGCTGTTCTGCAGATCACCTGTGTGTGGCAAAGGAGTCACAGGGCATGGGGTTCAAAGGGCACCTGCTTGTGAGGCTTTTGTAAGTGACACAAACACTCTGTGGTTCGCTCTGTGTATTCAGCTGGCCCTCCGGAGCTGAAGAGTACCTGGGTTTTCAGATTGCCCCCACTCTTCCTAATAGTCCACTCCTCCAGGGACACTACAAACATTGTGCACAATGTTTTTAGCTGACCCCAGAGAGCATGGCCCCTTCAACTGTTTGGCTCTGGTCCCACAGCATGTATTGCTGACTCTTAAGAAAGGAGTGTAGGAAGGTAGGGGAGGGTGGGAGTAAGGGGGAGAGATCAACCAAAGGACTTGTGTGCATGCATATAAGCCTAACCAGTGGTCACGGACAACAGGGGGATGGGGGAATGGGTGGGAGGGGTTTGGGATGGGAATGGGGGGATGAGGACAAATATGTGATACTTTAATCAATAAAGAAAAAAATTTTAAATGAATCTGATAAAATAAAATAAAATAAAATAAAGGAGTGTGGTCACCCATATTTTCAGAAGTCAAGCAGGGATGGCCCGGCCAGGAGAGGACTGGGACAATATGTTAGGAAGGGTGAGACTCTGCCACTATTTCACTTATGGCTCCTCTTAATAGTACATTTCTAAGGAGTCTTTGCTTTAGGAAACACATTCAATTAAAATCTTGCTTCAGATTTAATTTACAACAAATAGAGGGGGCTTCATAGCTATACTTGTCTTTGAGGATGAGAGGCCTTCTTTAAAAAGTGTACCTGTCATTTCCTGTATTATTTTTAAAAGGAGCTTGAAAATGCAAGATCTGCTTTGAAGTGTATATTTCCCACCTTCGATGAAACCTCAGATGCTGGGATCTGGACAAAGGATACCGTATTTTCCGGCGTATAAGACGACCCCCTAATTTTACAGTTAAAACATAGGTTTAGGCCTATATTCGCTGTATAAGACTACCCCCCACTTCCGAGACAACACCAGTTCTTTTTTTAATAGACCGCCTCTCTGACTCTGGCCAATCTGAGCAGGCTTTTTATTAGAACACAGTGTAGCTTCAGGTACAGAACATGTACACTGTGTTCTAGTAAAAAGCCTGCTCAGATTGGCCAGAGTCAGAGAGGCGGTCTATTAAAAAAAGAACTGGTGTTGTCTCGGAAGTGGGGGGTAGTCTTATACAGCGAATATAGGCCTAAACCTATGTTTTAACTGTAAAATTAGGGGGTCGTCTTATACGCCGGAAAATACGGTACTTACGTTGGCTGTGTGAAATACATATATTTGTTTAGACTAAATAGTAGTGAATGCCAGGTTTAAAAAAGATTGCTATTGTTATCATTATAACCTACTTAATAAGATGCACTCATTGACAAAAATTTAAACCATGCAACAAGGCAAAGAAAAAGGTGAAACCCACCTCTATCCATTCTCTGGGGTGGTCTCCGTTTATATTAAGTTATATTTATATAATTTACAGGTTATTTTCTCTGATGCGTATTTGTACTCATATAAGTTTATACATGAATATATATTTACATGCATCCATATGTAAATAGCAAATGAAATGGGATTACAGTTAACATATTCTTCAATAATTTACTTTCATCATTCAACAATATGTAAAGATCATCCTTCAATGGCAGGACATATAAATCCAGCCTCCTTCGTTTTAACTGTTGCCTAGTATTCCATTGCACAAATATATCGCTATTTTACTCTTCCCCTATGTTAGCGCATTTCACCTGTCTTTGATTCTTTCAAACAGCATTCCTGGAAGAGGGATCCACCCTCGTCATGTGGGCGGTGGACCGGGAGGTGCAGAATAAACACTGAAGTGCTCGTGTGGGAAAATAAGAGTTTGCTGTCTCAGTATGATGTGGTCAGGGAGGCAGCAGTATGACAAGATCTCAAATCAGGGTCCAAATTACATTCATTACTGGCTTTGATGTCCTGATGAAAAAGCCATGTGTGGGCAAATAGCTGGTTAGTGCTGAAGACTTGCCCTGGAAGGGCATGGACCCAGAATGACGAGTGAAAGAAAATGATTAATAACTTCAGTTTTAATTTTGGAATTACAGGTCAGCTAATACATGCTTCCATTTATCTTCAAATTTGCAGAGCTTGTGAAATGAACCCCTTGCAGGCTTTCTCAGATTTATGTTATGCTTCTTGAGTTAGCTTCTCAACAGAATTGTGACTCCCTTTTCACACCAGAAGCACAGCTACCTCCACCCTATTTGCCCACTTTGGCCCCATGAACTCCGGCCAAGCCTGAGGACTGTGACCTTTAAAAGCTGCTCTGGTTGATGTCTCTTCTTCAGCGTGCTTCCGGTCTGACCCTTGGACGTTCCCAGCTGGGTGAACAGTTAGTCATTTACCTTGAAATCAATTAGTAACAAGTCAGTGTCACCTTGGACTTGAGTGATGAGGATTGGATAAGCATCCGTTGGGTGTTCTGAGAATGAGCTTTCCCCTGGTCCTTTGTGTGCTGTGGGGAAGGCTTCTCGCAGCCATGCTGTCATGTGGACATCAGGGGGAGAAAGTCTGGAGCTAGCAAATCGGGGAGCTTCTGAGCATTCTTCCCTAAGTGTGGCCCTGCCTCCAGTCCTTCTGCTTCAGATATCCCAAATCACAGACCATGGCTGCGCAATGGCTCAGCCCCTTCCAGAAACCACATGCCAATTTAAAACTGTTAATTCAGCCAAAACCGGTATAGCTCAGTGGATAGAGTGTCGGCCTGCGGACTGAAAGGTCCCAGGTTTGATTCCGGTCAAGGGCATATACCTTGGTTGTGGGCACATCCCCCGTGGGGGGTGTGCAAGAGGCAGCTGATTGATGATTCTCTCTCATCGATTTTTCTAACTCTCTATCACTCTCTCTTCCTCTCTGTAAAAAAATCAATAAAATATATTTTAAAAATAAAAATAAAACAGTGTTAATACTTACATAATTCTAAGGATATTAAAAACTGGCCAAATTAATCTATTCTTCTAAGGAGTTCCCCACCATATGAATTAAAATGACTTGCAGTTTTTTAGGTTTTCAATGAGGTTTTCAGGAAAAGAATATATATTCGACAAATTTTCCAATCAGCATTTGCTCCTCAACCTCTAGAAAGAGAACTTTTGTGTCTCTGGGGGTTTAAAAAGGGACCTCTACGAGGGCTTAAACCCTGCCAGGACGACCCCCTCCCCACCTCCAACCCAGTGGATTGGCTGCAGAGACAACTACTTTGAATGAAATGGGAGTGAAGTGTTGAACTTGGAACATTTTCTTTTGCTGCCAGTTACCTGTGACACAGTTGCCAGGAGCTGCCTGTGAAACTGGTTTGGAGGCTTCGGTTCCTTGGTTTTCGTTCCCCTCATCCATCAGCATTTACCTAGTAGGTGCCTGGGGGCTCCATTAAGGACAATGGTGGCTGCCACTGGGCTGCTGTGAACCAGGTGCATCACGCACTTCAGCCCTTATACTTACCAAGTCTGGAAAGGAACAATTCACCAGGAAGCTGAGCCACCCCGATATGCAATCAGCCAGAGGGCAAGGCCGGATTAGGACCCGCCTTGGGTGGTTGTATGCCTGCCTGGGGAGTTAGGGATGGGCATGGGACCAGAACACCTCTTGCTCACTTGCCAGGCTCGTTTCTCGCCCTTTACCTAGATAAACACATTCAAGGCCTCTCTCTGCACACTGGGTTGTAGATGTACTGAATGCCATGTTACTGGTGAGGTGACCTGGCCGGGGTTGCTCAGCATGTGGTGGGCGGGGCTGGGATTTGGACCCCAGTGGGCTGAGTCCCTGCCCATGGGAAAAAGCCCGTGCTGATCCGTCCTCTTCATGATGACTTGCATTTTGGAAAAGCTTCCTCAGCAGATCAAGTCCCTGGCTCAGTCGTAACTAAGGTCCCTGTCCCTGCTTGCTCAACACCCAACTGCTCCTGACTCTTTTGCATGAGCGGGGCTGGAGCTAAGCCTAGGGCTTTGCAGCTTGCTGGGTCAACCCTTTTCTCCAACCTTTCGAGTGGTCTCTCTTTGTCTATGGATGGTAAGGCAGAGCTGGCCCCTGGACGGCTTTTTTGGACAGAGTTGTGTGATGATTTCCCCACATTCTTGCAGCCTTATTTGCTGACTGATGCTGGCCCCAGGGAGCAGCACCTTGAGGACTGATCTAAGAATGAGCCGGGCAGTGTGTGAGAGGCATCGCTCACGGCCCACTGAGGCTCCGTGGAGCCAGACTCTCCTGTTCGCAGTGGCGGAGGGAAGCTCCTTCCCAACCAGGCCGGCCCTCCTGACCCGCTGGGCTCTCTGTGAGTCTGCCTGGAAGTCAGCCGACTCATTTTCTAAGCCCTGGTTAGCGGCCCAGCAAAGGAGGGGGCTGTGTCGCCGGGAGCTGAGGCCCAGGTCTCCTCTCCATTCTGTAGGTGGTCACACTGCTCCTCCGAGTGGCAGTTGCGCTGTATGGTGACGGCTCTTGTTCACCGACCGGTCCTTTGAGGAATGAGGGTTGATCAGAATGCGGACATTTAATGTTTCCAAAGGGGGTTCTGAAAACTTGTGTAGAAACTAAATGCCGTATGTTCTTTAGCGGCTTAGTTCTGAGAGGATATTTCTGAGGGCATTTCCATTGTCAGAGTCATCAGAACCGTGCCTGCTTCTGACCTTTCACTGACCTGTGGAAGCACCCTGCTGCCCCCTGAAGGCCCCTTGAGGCGGGTGAGGAGAGCCCAGGGCGTGCCTCGCGCCTGAGCAGCGGGCAGGGCTGTGTGTGAAGCGCCAGCCACAGACACCCCTGTGAGCTGAGATCCGGATGGAAGACCACCTGGCGATGTGTGTAAACTCAGATACTCTTGCTGCCAACACGGCAGGCTGGGAGCTCATGCTCCTGAACCCTTTTTCTACCTTAAAATCTCTTTCTCAGACTCCTCTAACAGCGAGTTTTACCAGGGACCCTTCCCATGAGATGTCCTAGAAAAATTTTGAAGTGCCTGCATTTTAGGTTAGAGGGGCCCAGAATAATTAACCTCCATAGTTTTTTAATGTTATTCTTCACAAGCAACTGGAGAATATTGAAGAAGGGTTCTTCCGGCTAAAACTAAGGGCAGGGGACCCTCAATTCTGGGGGAAGTGAAAGAGAAGGAAGGGTGGGGTGACTACATAATCTTCAGGGAGGTGGAACCCGAGGACTGGACAGTTGTCTGCGATGGGTGATTTGGTGCCTGGTATCATTTAGCTCAAGTGGCCCCTTTGCAATGAGACCTTCCTTGACCGGCCAATCCACCCCCTGTCCCCCAGGCATCTCATTTCATCTCATTAGCACTGGTCACCATCCAGCATTAACTCATTCATTCAAAACTGTGCCATGCCAGTGTCAGTGCAGCCAAGGGTGAAGGACTGAAGAAAAGACAGACAAGAGAATACAGCTAGGGCTTGGTAGATCTCCCATGTCTGGATGAAGACACAAAAGACCCAGCCTGCAAGCCCATGCTTTATTTTATAGTCTGATTAAAACAAGGGTGGATTAACATGTATACAAATGTTCTTGTTTTGGCAACACTTGCTGCACCTCCCACAGCCCATTAGCTGCTTAGGAAGGATTAGGGAGAGTTACAAGGTCAGGCTTAATAATGCTGAGAGAGCTCTGTCCTCCAGGCTGGGACTTGTTTGTGGCCCTGCTACAGGTCAGCCTGAGGCTTGACCCTAGAGCCGCTCCCTACACAAAATTACTTACTTGTTTCTTGTTTGTCTCAGTGGAATATAAGCTTCATGAGGCCAGTGATATCATCCGTCTTGTTCTGCACTCAGGACACACTAGGCATCCAATAAATACTTGTGGAGTAAATGGACACTCAAACAGCTACTCCAGGAGCTGACTGGCCTTTGCCCGTCTTACTGAGCGAGATCCCTGAGCTGGCAGAGCGTGGGCCAGTGTGAACAATCCGTCCCATGTCTGCTGTCCCTCTGCCCCAGCCTCCCAGCCCTCCCTGGAGCTGACCCAGTGCGCCTGTCCCTGGGACACTGCCGGTGGCTTCCCCTGGCACTGCTGAGAGTGGGTGGCCTTAATTTAGAAGTTGGTCACTCTTGCACTCATTCCTTCAGGCAATTTCTCTTCTCAGTGAATGCCATTCATTCATCAGCAAGCATAAATGTGTTACTTATTATTAGTTATTTATTATTTTATAATCTTCACCCAGGGATATGTTTTTATTGATTTTAGAGAAAGAGGAAGATGGGGTTGGGGGGTGGAGAGAGAGAGAAAACGATGTGAGAGAGAAGCATTGATTGGTTGTCTCCTGCATGCATCCTGAGAGGGAATTGAGCCCACAACCTTTTTTTGATGTATGGGGCCACCTGGCCAGGGCCAGCACGTATTTATTGAGGGCCTGCTATGCACTGGAAGCTGGGGCATTGGGAAGAAACATGCCCTCTGTCCTCCTCCTTCTGGAAGGAAAGGATAAGCAACTGTGCCAGCATTATGTGGATGAAGCCCCGGCATCGGGCATCGCCGAGACCCCACTCCTCTCCCCACATCTACAGCCCTAATGAGAGCGCCCTGTAGGGAGCAAGCGCGGGATGAACATTGGCGCCTCATGTATGTTACCCCTGCGGTCCTCTAACACCTCCCGGAGGAGGGAGCATGGCTTCCATGGGCAAAGCAAACAGGAGGCTCAGCGAGGCCAGGGCTCCAGAGCCGGAGGCAGCCAGGTCTCTGTCCTGATGCCCAGGTTCTTCCCATCAGCGCTAGCCTTCTGGGATCAGCGGTGACTGTAACCATGGAAACCTCTGGCAAGGAAGAGCTGCTTGGTGCCAGTAGGCCAGTGAGGGAGATGTATTTCAGTGGCGGGCCCTGCCACGCCCTCCAGCTCCACCCAGAATTTGGCTGCTCTTTCTCCACCGGCGTTGGCCTGCAGTTGGGGTGAGAAAGAGGGTCTGTGGCAGGAGATCAAAAGGCTCGGGCCGGCATCATTCCCTCGCCCACCGGGACAAACAGCATCTCCTCCGTCAGCCCTCCTGCTGCTTCTCTTTTCATCCCACCTCATTCCGCGGGTTAACGACCAAAGGACCCCTGACCTGCAGCTGAGCCTGTGTCTCTAAGAAACACGGGCAGCGGGGTGATGAGACCCCTGGAGTTCCCTCCCGGAGAGGCAGGCCGGTTGAGACGCTAGGGTTTGGACGATGCCTGGCAGATTTGTCCAGCCAGAGAAATGGCAGTTATGCTTAGACAAATGCCTTTTTGGGAGCTGAGGCGGTGGGTGCCGGGACAGTCCGTTCCCAGGTGAGTGCTCCCAGAACGCTGACCAAAGTGCAGCTGGGCCCTGAGCCCCTGCTCCCAGCCCCTTGGAGGTAAGTTCCATTGCTCTTCCTGCCCCACACCCAGCCTCTATCTTGTTCTGGGCTCCCTTCCTTTAGAACATCCCCTCCTTTCAGTGTTCCCATCCAAACCCAGGCTAGGAACACCCTCCAGTCTCTTGAGGCAAATGAGGCTACATTTTGGACAAGCCACTGGGATTCTGGGAATTCCACAATTACTGTCTGCAAGTACCTTGAAAATAAGGTAGAAACTGCACACTTTCAAGCCTTCCTCCCCAACCTCCCTCTCTCTCCCCAACCCTTAGGATTCCTGCCAGTGGCAGTGGGGTGCCACTGAGAGAGCCTGGCCTGGGGTCCCCATGGGCTTGCCACCTCTGCTCCACTGCTCAGGCTTGGACAAGCCCTTTGCTGTCTCGGCAGCTTCCACCTGCCTCTAGGCTAGGGGTGTCGAACTCAATCAGAGAAGGGGCCAAAATCTAAAATCCAGCCTAAATCGCGGGCCGAATGGTTTACTGAACAGTCATTAACTGTCATTGTGATGGAAACGCAGCGGAGTGCAGTGATGACAGCGCGGTGCGGGCCACATTGCAAGGCCTGGCGGGATGGATTTGGTCCTCGGGCCTTGTGTTTGACACATGTGCTCTAGGCAATGAGGGGGGACCAATCCGTATCTTTCCTTTTAGGATGTTTTCAGCTATAAAACCACAGACTCCCTGGGCTTCGCTCACATCTCAGGACCCCTCCCACCCAGGTTTCCCTGCTCGCTCTCTTTAAGCATCAGCCATACATTCAGGGGTAAAAACCAGTCTTGGGGCAGGGGGTGAAAAATCAATCTTTTTGTGTATAAAACACAGCTTTGCAGACAGTGCATAAACAGATATGTACCATGTCTTTAGTATTAAAATTAGTATTTCATGGGAGAGTGTGATTAGTGAAAACAACCAAAAAAGGTTATTTAGAGGCCATAATGAGGGGGATGGGGAAGGCTCGAGAAACACAGATTTCACACAAGGTGTGCTGGGTACCGTGCCAGGTACCAGACAGGTGAGTGATGGTATTTCCTCCCCTCCAGGAAGGAACGTTCATTTACAGGGACGATCATGCTTCTTGTTCTTCTAAACCTTCTTTCCTTTCTTCTAAATCCTCCTACACGCCACGTTCAGTGGTTTACATGCATTTACGTGTTCTGGTGGTCATGGCTTGTCTTTCTGTGGCTTTTCTTCCCTCTAGCTATGGGATTGCTGGCTCTACCAACGTGACGGGTGACCAAGTGAAGAAGCTGGACGTCCTCTCCAATGACATGGTCATCAACGTGTTGCGGGCATCCTTTGCCACCTGCGTCCTTGTGTCGGAAGAAGATAAACAAGCCATCATTATAGAACCTGAGAAAAGGGTGGGTCTGAACTTTCACCATCCAGGGCGGTTTTTTTGTTGTTGTTGTTTGTTTGTGTGTTTTTTTGTTTTAATATATTGATTTTTTACAGAGAGGAAGAGAGAGGGATAGAGAGTTAGAAACATCAATGAGAGAAAATCATCGATCAGCTGCCTCTTGCACACCCCCTACAGGGGATGTGCCCACAACCAAGGTACATGCCCTTGACCGGAATCGAACCCGGAACCTTTCAGTCCACAGGCTGATGCTCTATTCACTGAGCCAAACTGGTTTCGGCTACCATCTAGGGTTTTAATGTCACCATTTTTCTCTCTACCTTCATAAATGACTCCAATTACTTAGCCAGGCTGGATTCCTAGGAATCACCCTAGATTCCTCCTGAACCATGAGTCATCATTTCACAGATTCATCCTCACTACCATCTCTCAACCCGTCCCCACCTGTCCCCTCTACCACCATACGCAATGTCATTATCTATCCTCCAGTGGACTCAGACATGGGAGAGATGCATATATACTCATATTCATCTCCACTCCTAACTTTTCATTGCCATGTTCAAGGCTCTTCAAAGTCTGGCTACGATTAACAACTTCTTTTGCTTCATCTTCATCCACCAAATTCCTATCCTCACACTCCAATTCTTCTGCCAATGTAAGATGCTCCCAATTCCTGTCGCTGATTTATGATTTGGAATCCTATTGATCTAATTGTTCATTGAGGGAGGAGAATGAATTATATTCTTCTCTGTATCCCAGCATCTAGCATAACGCCTGGCCCACTGTAGGGGTTCAATACTAAATTATTGTTGCAAAAGGGAATGGAAAGAGTATATCCAGCTTTTATAGAACAAAACAATTATATAATAATTAAAAAAAAAACTTGAAATGAGGAGTGCAGTTCCATGGAGTTGCCGTCTTTCCCTGTTTGAGATGAATCGGGGACATGAAGGAGTAGAGTTAGAAAAAAGCAATCAGAAGATGAACTTAGAGAGGCTGCCTGATAACAGGTCTTTACATTTTGAAGAGTGTAGGGAGCTATATCCGATTAATTTATATTATCCCTAAAGTATATTATATGTTGGATTCAAAGTTCATGTTCTCGGTTGGGCTTCTCAAAGTACTTGGCCTTTCAGGCATGTGAATTGAATTTGCTGTTCAATGTTCTCTACCAGTCGGCACAACTTCTCTGACTACCATATGCTTTTCTAAGAGGCATGTTCCCGTTTTCCAGATAACAGTGTCTCCTGCATAAACCAGAGTGATTTAAGAGCAAGTGGTCAGGGAATGAGAGACTTGTCTTAATTTGATGCAGAACTTAGAAACCACATCTTAAAGTAGCTAATCTGGATATCGAAAATCTATGGAGTGCTGATAAATTGGTTCTGTTTTGAAAAAGTCTCTGATTTGCAGGAATAGCCAATACCACCTTTGTAAATACTCCCTCATAGTAGATTTTAAACTACCAATGTGATATCCCTGAAGGCAGAGTTGGGAAGAGATGTGTACAACTCACTCTTGAGACTAGCAACCAGGCGGCTCCAGCACACCACTGACATCCCCATTCATGGCAGTTGGGATATCCTTGAGGGCTCTGTGCACTGTAACCCAGTGTCATCTGTAAGAACTGCACAACAAGGCTCTTAAAGACTTGAATGCAGCTAATTCCTTTAGCTTCACTTAAGGAATTATGTATATGTCCCTAATGAACAACAAGAAATAAAAGACTAACCTTGCTTCTCTTCTTCCTCTGGCTGCCAGGAAACTCAAGCCAACATTATGATTCAGCTATATCAATGATGTAGGAAATTAAGACTTACTTATCTATATTCTATTACCTTCATCTATGCCTCCCGTTCTAAGTTGTGTTTTCTCTGCCTAATGATGTTTTGGTACAATAGTAGTCATATGATTATGTATATTCATTGTTGTCATTTGCATTTTGCATGCCACTCATAGCTTCCATGACAGAGTATAAATAAGATTCACATTTCTTAAACTTTCCCCTAGATTCCCATTTTTTTTTAATCCCCTTAGTGTATATTTCTATTTTGTTATACTGTGTTTGTTTTTAAAGTAGAGTTTACTTCCATTTTTTGTTGTCCAGGGTAAATATGTGGTCTGTTTTGATCCCCTTGATGGATCCTCCAACATCGATTGCCTTGTGTCCATTGGAACCATTTTTGGCATCTACAGAAAGGTAAGAGGTAACGTATAAGCCCCTGGTTTGGAACCCAGAGGAAAGTTAAGGTCTAGCATCCAGACCTGTTTCACTATTGGTGGAGCAACCAGAGTGTATATCATGAAACTTTAAGGTTTATGTCTTGAATTCTGACTTTTTCAGCATTTGATACATAGTAAAGATCCATTAAGTTGTTAGAAAATGTAGTACTGTGCAAGTAGGAAGAGAAAAATAGTTTACTCTTAGCCGTACCATGCTTTCTTTATAATAGAAAATGAAATAAAAAATAAAGGGACAGTAGAGGGTAGTTACAATGGTAATACTATGTGAGCTGAGAATTGTGAGTGTGACAACAATGAGAGTATATATGTCAGAATTGACCTTGAAATCTTCTACATCAGGGCTTTGCAAACTTTGACTCTCCCCAGAGCCAAATTCAGCCAATTGCCTGATTTGTATGGCCTCTGAGCAAAAATAACCCTTCTGCATTTAAAAAAATATATTCTGGGGGGAAAAAACTAAAATAATATTTCATAGCCCATAACATTTATGTGAATTTCATTGTCACTGTCCCTAAATGAAGTTTTAATGGCATGTGGTCAACTCATACGTTTACATGATGCTTTTGGCGGGTTCCATGATGCCCTGGCAGGGCTCAGCGATTGTGATACTTAATGACATAAAACCTACAGTGCTTACTGCCTGTCCACTTATGGACAGAGTTGGCTGCACACTGCCCGGATCTTCTACCTGTGTACCTGGCAGGTCACTATCTCCAGAGCCTGCCTCTCTTCCCTTCTTTTTCTTTCAGTGCCGTGTGTGTGTGTGTGTGTGTGTGTGTGTGTGTGTATGTGCCGTGATGGTGGAAGAGCACTCAAGTATATAAATAAAATAGAATGAATACCTGTGGCCCATCATAAAACACGAAATCTGAAATATGTTTTCATGTTTATAATTTGCAGTGTCCTTTAAATAATCTAGTTCCCATAACTCAGCCCGTATTGTTTAATTTAGAAATAAAACCTCACAGATGCCCTTGCATCTGAATCACTTTATCTTATGGGCAGGTGGCTGCAGAGGCTTCTCCCCATGCTCATATTGTAGCGTTCGGAGGCCGTAGTTTAAGTAATGAGGCCCATTTGCACTTTATTGTTCAAAGGGACTTGTTGCCTAACATTGCGTATAATTTCCTTTCAAACATGTGGAAATCAGGACACCACAGGACAGTTCTCTTTGGTCATTAAGTGTTTTTGCTTTTGTCTCAGCGAGAGGGACAAAACACCCCTTCTGCATTTGTACAGATTGCGAACTCCTTGAGGCAGAGACATCATCTTATACAGCTAATCGATTTGAGTAATCAATGCTCAAAGCAGGAAGGTCAAGGCAAGAATTTATCTATTTTCCAAGTCAACATGGAATGTACCATGCCTGTTACAGGCAGGGAGGCAGCCCATCTTATCTGCAAACTACCAGGGCTATCTACAATAGCAAGAGAGGTTTGTAGCAAAAGTCTTCCTGTGAAGCAAGACTTCTGGTTAGTGACTCAACCCAAACTAAGCAGCGCGAATGTTTGCCAGCTCCAGTCTCCACCTCAACCCCCAAATAAAGATGCCTTGAAGGAAACCAGATAAAACTAGAAAACGGAGACACTGACTGTCAACTAAAAAAATTAAACCAGCTTGCAACAGCAGCATGAATGAAGGATGATACACTCAACAGTGAATCTCCACACCCTTCTCAGTAAATGTGGTGTGACTCTTCAAAGACCGAAAACAAATATGAGTGGGATGCTGCCTTTGCCATTTCAGTTTTCCAAAGCCTTATTGATTATTTAAAGCCATTTGAGGGCCTTGGGGCATAAACATGGATGTGCCCGATGCTTCAAAGGTGCCTCTCCTGCTTTCTGCATAGATGGCTCTCGGCTAGCATTCAGCTCCCTGGGCGCCTGTCAGCACACAGCATCTGAAACAGGAACTGCAGCAGCATCAGGCCCGGCCTACCACTGCCAGGAAACAGGCTCCAAAGGGATCTCCAAGGGCTGGTGGGCTAGGTCCGTGGTCGGCATACTGCGGCTTGTAAGCCCCGGTTTGCCACTCTGTTGACTAATGAGTTTGCCGACCACCGACCTAGACTCTTGATTCCAATAATTGCAGGCTGTTGCTGGTCCTTGTGATTAAGCTCCTATCCCAGTGGTCAGCAAACTCAGTCGACAGAGTAGCAAACCGCTGTTTGCGAGCCGCAGTTTGCTGACCACTGGCTAGTGTCCTAGGCATTGCCTGCTGCTGTGCCTCAGGAGGGGTCACCCAGCTTCCAGCTGGGGACACCCAGAGGAGTATAACTCTCCTGAGGTGTTGGACACCATCACGGTCAGAATGTTTGCCTGAATGTGCCCACCCCTGGAGCTGAGAGGGAGGGAGGCGGCATCCAAAGGAAGATTAAGAGGAATTTGTCAGTGGGATGGCGATGGGCGCTGGCCAGGCAAACCAACCCATCTGCAGTACAGGTTACACACCCCTGGAGGCAGGGCGCCGTCTCGCACACGTTTTGCCTGCGAGGCTTCCTGCTGCAGTCGTAGGTAAGCGATGTTGGCTATGTTATGGGGGGGACTCTGCCAAATGTCCTGTAAGACTTTCAAAGGAGGTCTGGCTGCCCCTGAAGGACAGCCATCTGGTGACATGACAGCCACCACACCCTCCTGCCATACTCGATTTTCCCGTCTACCACCTTGAATCTCCAGAATCCCAGTGTCTTTTCCTCATCCCTATGGGATGGCATGGAATAAAGGAAACCCATATCCACAGCAGGTGGTGGCCAGGGCGGCACAGACAAAGGCAGGGTCCGGAGGCTTTCTCCTTGTGCCGGGCTCTTTAAGCACATGGCCCTGCGCACCCGCCTGGGAATGTGGCGCCTCCTACTGGGGGTTCCAGGAGGGAGCCCTGCATTGGGAAGGGGGCAGGCTAGGAAAGAATTCCCCCAAGTCCGCGATTCGATGGCATTCTTTTCTGTTTCTTGTATGTGGGTCATAGATAGTGCTGCCATTTCTTCCTTCTTGCAAAGATGTCACAGGGCAGGATTGTCTGGCGACGGTATTTCAGGGAACTTCTGCTTCCTCTTGCAGCTTCCCCACAGGCAGAGATGGACGGCGCTGGGCAAGGTGGGATCTCTGGGGAACTCTTACTGGTGGAGAACTGATTACTGGGAGCCTCCAGCAGCTCCCAGTCAGCCCATTTGTTCCCATATTCCCATTATCTGGTTTCCCGCTGCACTGGCGGGTAAGCTTACATGGCTGTGGTAGAGGGTGGTTCCAGGCCTGAGTCCGCCCCTCTGTCACTGGCTTCGAAGGAAGCTGTTCCTTTCTCAGGACCATGCACCGGCAACGTTAGGAGTTAGGAAAAACTCAAACTTTCAATACTGTGTTTAGTCTGTGTTGACACAACCCAGCCAACCAACCACCTTGACTATCGAGTGACATTAGTGCTCAGGGGCTCAGGGCCTGGCCGGTGTGGCTTAGTAGTTGAGCTTTGACCAATGAACCACATGCGGTCACGGTTAGATTCTGGTCAGGGCACATGCCTGGGTTTCCAGCTCAATCCCCAGGATCAATGATTCTCTCCCATCTGTCCCTTCCTCTCTGAAATTAAAAAAAAAACCAAAAAAAACAACAACAACAACAAAAAACAACCCACAAAACAAAACACCAAGAAAAACAAAGAAAACACAGTTGTGGGGATGAAGGGAAAATGGGAAGAAATGGTTTTAGCAGTTCTTCCTTGTACATTAGTAGTTCTTCCCCTCAGCTGCTGGCATCTCTTGGCTGGGAAAGGAATAAATAAAATTGCCCATTTTCATTTCTGTTTAAATTCAAGTAGAGACTATTCAAGCTGAAAGCTTTGTTTGGGCTTCTTTGAGGAAGGAAGAAGCCAATCAAGTGTTGATGAGATGGTGCTCATCCGTTAGCAATCCATTCACTGGGAGCCGTCTCTTTCAGAGAGGGTTTCACCCCTCCATCTTAGGCAAACTGGGCCACGTGACCCAGCGGGCTGTGTTCTTTATGAAAAAAAGAAGAGATTAGAGTGCATGTCATGGTCTAAGTGTCAGATTGTTCCGTCTCATTCCTGCAGTTGTGTGTGCGTGTGGGTGTGTGTTGATACTGTTCGTGGCGGCACCAGTGTTTCTGACCGTGGGTCATGCTCAGAAACCAGAAGCATCTGCCCTGCTCGGTCCTGGCTCTGGAGGGATTTTCTATTCCTGAGAGTCTCTTTGGTGTGTGTTGATGTGGACCGCATTGCTCCCTGGGGGATGGGCTGCGACTGGCAAGAACTGGTGGAATTGATGTCCTCACCAGACCTCTGGCCCCGCAGCCCAGGCCTAATTGGTTTAAAGAAAGACGGAGGAGGCAGGTGAAAGACATCGATGCCCATAATAAGATTAAATTAGTGGGAGCTGGCAAGAAGGCATGCTCTTTTTTGAAAGTGAAAATGGAGAAATGAGGGAATATCGAATTAGTAAAATGGGAGGAGGGTGGTAATTGGGAAGAAGGGCCCAGCTGCAGGAAGTCTGGGGCTTGTGGGAAGGCTGCCATGGGAATAGAATCAGGACATCACTGTCCTGAAGGAGGATCCGTCCAAGAAAATGCCCTTTCATTAAGAAAGCATCTTGCTAATGCATTTTGCTAATGGTTGAACTGAAAAAAAAAGAAAAGAAGAAAAAAAGAACCGCAAAGCAGAACAAAAATGTGTTTTGTTTTCTTTCTTGTCCTAGAACTCTACCGACGAGCCTTCCGAGAAGGACGCCCTGCAGCCGGGCCGGAACCTGGTGGCAGCCGGCTACGCCCTCTATGGCAGTGCCACCATGCTGGTGCTGGCCATGGCCTGTGGGGTCAACTGCTTCATGCTGGACCCGGTGAGAGAGCCCGGGGGCTCGGGTGGCGGGGCAGGTGCCTGGCCCGTGGCTGTGTCAGTTATGTGTGTGGGCATGGACTGGGGTGCACAGAGGTGGGGGCGCAGAGGAAGACCACATGTACGTCAGGAGGAGATGATTGAGGTGAGGGTTAATGTCTGTCCAGAGCAAAAAAGAGGGCCTTAATTCCAAGATGAAATCTTCGGAACAGACATGATTCAACTGGCTCCAGTGCCCATCGGGGCCAGGCAGGCCATGTGAGTGAGCAGAGCGTGCTGCGGAGCCAGGCCGGGGTGCTGGGACCCCAGAAAGCCTCAGTGGTGAGCTGGACAGGTGTCGGTGTTTAGGAAACACGGTGGTGTGTGTGTTTAGTGAGATGGTTTGGGTTAAAACACCATGCTAGCCAACTAAAACGTACTTATGAACCAGATGGGGCCTCTGGATGGCCTGTTGACCCCCCCCCCCCCCCCCATTGCATTCATCACAGCCCGCCTGAACGTGTCTGCTGTGCACTCACAGGCATGCCTGGGGCCAGCCTCCGCAGTCCTGCCAGTGCTCTGAGACCTCAGGGTGTGAAGGGGAAGAAGGAAGGGAGGTCATTCAACCCCCCTCATAGAGAACAGCTACCTTCTGCAGAGGAGCCCAGGTGCCATGGAGAGACACTCACTGGCAGCTTTGATTTGTGCATAAGTCCTACCTGTCTATGAATTGGGGTTATTGACCTATTGAGTTAGGTGGCAGTTTCGACAGAGCAGATGAATTGGGGGAAGAAACCTTTTCAAATATCTGGTGCCACGAAATCCATGACTGGGTACAGACGCCACAGAACAGCCTTACTATGTCAGCATGTCCATTAGGCAATTGGCCCCATGTCCCACGGGGAAGAGAACTGGGTTTATAACACCTTTCGCGTTTGGAAACGTCCTTGGATGACATCAGCGATTTCATTGTTGATGAAATTGGCGTGCAGGAGCCTCCCTCCACACCTGCGCTGCGGGAGGGGGTGGGCAAAGCATGGCTGAGTGAGCTGTGTGGTGCACTCAGCCGGCTGCAGGGCGTCCTTCTCGGAAGGCTCGTCGGTAGAGTTCTAGGACAAGAAAGAAAACAAAACACATTTTTGTTCTGCTTTGCGGTTCTTTTTTTCTTCTTTTCTTTTTTTTTCAGTTCAACCATTAGCAAAATGCATTAGCAAGATGCTTTCTTAATGAAAGGGCATTTTCTTGGACGGATCCTCCTTCAGGACAGTGATGTCCTGATTCTATTCCCATGGCAGCCTTCCCACAAGCCCCAGACTTCCTGCAGCTGGGCCCTTCTTCCCAATTACCACCCTCCATTGTTGATTTGGTGCTTTTTGCTGACGGACGGAACCCAAGGACAGCAGCTGGCTGGGATCCGGGGAGCGGCGGCTGCTCCGGAGAGGCCCTGGGTTGGCTTGCGGTGGGCGGATAAACGGGGGGTGCAGGCGCCTTTGCCCCCGACACTCTTGCGCAACTGCACTTTGTCCCTGGAGGTACTGGCGTTTAATAAATAAACAAGGGCGGGGAATCAGCACCAGATTACATCTCCAGCGAGGTGACCTCGGGGAAAACAGTGGCAGAACCAGAGCACAGGTCATGGGGAGCCGGGGCTGGGGCACCGTTTCTGAAATCGCTGATGTGCCAGCTCCCAGACCCTCCGGCTTCCGCACATCCTCTCTGCTACCTGTGCTGGTGGGCGCGTCGGGAAAAATACATCTCTTCTTGTTTCCAGATTGCAGACCGTGTCTCTGGGAGTGAGCGTCTGTGTATTTGATGGCCCTTTGCCCTCCTCACACGGTGTTTGGAAGGACTGCCCGGTCCCCCTGCCGGCTGCCTCTGGGACCTGGGATCTGGCCAGCCCTCTGCCGGCTGAGCCTCCGACGGGTCTAGCCTTTCCTTTTCCTTTTGGCTCGCTGCACGCACAGGCTGAGGGTTTCTGCTTAAAAGCTATGTTTGCGTTCTTAGCTCATCAGGAACTTAACCTTCAAAAAGCTTTCCCGTCTCTTGTCTGGCGTGCAGGAGCCTCCCTCCACACCTGCGCTGCGGGAGGGGGTGGGCAAAGCATGGCTGAGTGAGCTGTGTGGTGCCTGCTATGCAGTGGCTTCATGTCCCAGACTTTTTCATCTTTTTTTTTTTTTTAAGATATTTATTTATTTACTTAGTTTTCTGACCACAAAAATATTCCTACATATTTGTGGCCAAAATAGCTAGAAATACCAAGAAGCATATAAGAAAAAAGAATCACACACAGTGTCCACTGTCCATGCCAGTCTCTTTTCTCTCCTCACCCTTCCTCCGCCCCCCCCCCCCCAATCTCACGTGCTCCATCCCGGCGGGAACCAGTCTTCACTGTGGGAATAAATTGGGGGGAGAGGTGTTGATGGGTCCTCCCTGCTTCTAACTCTTGCCTCCAGGGAGCATCCCCTCCCCAGAGGAGCAGCACCCCAATCACCCTCTCAGTGACACGCAGGAGCCCAGAGAGCCTCAGTGCGGAGCCGCAGGAGCTGCTGGTGCTCGCCCTCCCCATTGCGTCCTGAGCCTGTGGGCGGGGCTCTGAGAAGCACTGAGCTCCCTGAGCAAAGGCAGCTGCCGTCACACGTTCTGTGCGTTAAGACCCGGGCTCTGCTGTCTCCTACAGCCGCACACGAAAGGGAACACCGTCCCTGAGCGCGCCGGTGTCACTGGGCTGTCTGTCCCTCCTGAGGCCCACCTCCTGTCTGCACCACCGTCCCTTAAATGACATGTTTTCCCAGAAGGCATGCACATCCTGAGGCATGGGCGTCCCAGGGCCAGGCGCTCCCTGTGCTGGCGGTCCTCCCGCGATGTGTACAGATAGGGAACCCTGCGCTGTGCCCCGGAAACTAACGCAGTGTTATGCCAGTCATCCCTCAGGAAGAAAAACCCGGGAAGGAAAAGCCAGGCTCCTTGTGCTGGTGCATGGGTGTGACCGCAGGCCCCTCCCGCACCGAGCCCGCCCTCACACAGGCCGGAGGCTCATCGCCCCTCTCCTGTCCTCCGGTCCCACAGGCCATCGGCGAGTTCATTCTGGTGGACAAGGATGTGAAGATCAAAAAGAAAGGGAACATCTACAGCCTCAACGAGGGCTACGCCAAGGACTTCGAGCCCGCGGTCACCGAGTACGTCCAGAGGAAGAAGTTCCCCCTGGTGAGTGAGGCCCTGAGCCAGGCAGAGATGTGCCGGCTGCAGGCTTCCCTGGAGGGGGACGGGGGCAGGGATGAGAGCAGCGTGGCTTCCCCTGTGAGGTCCCCGCCCAGGTACCGGGGACGTCAGAACCGGGAGGTCTGTTCCAGCCTCTCCGCATTCCCCTGGCAGCACACGGTCAGGGTAGCTGGGCCGCTGGCTACATGAGCCCAGGGCAGTAAAGCATGTTTCACTTCTGGGGCTCCCGATCCCAGATGGTACAAAACGTGGCTCTAGCACCCAGGACCTGCCCCACGGCGTCTGACCGGGGTCTGTCAGTCACCTCAAGGTCAGGGTGCCCTTCTCCGTGTCTCTCCGTTACACATCCCTGAGCTCGGAGAGGGAAACGGCTGGCTGCAGAGCTGGTTCTGGGCAGGGGTGCCCAGCTTTGCCACACTCTCGTCACGTGCCATCGATGCCTGCTGTGTCCTGACGAGGAAGCTGACAGGTGGTCAGCATGGCACTGGGGGCCGTCGGAACTGGCCGGGCTCTCTCTCCCGCTCCATCATCTCTCCTTCTACCCGCCTTGGCTTCCTCTCCTGCCCCCTCCCTGCCCCCACCCCGTGGACAGCCTTTGCTTCTCTGCCTGGTTAGTTGTGTATGTCCCTTCCCACAAGACGAAAACCCCGCCCTTGCCCAGCTCCTTAGCTCTGCAAAATCCTTCTTACCCCACAAGGTTCTGCGACCCGGTATCGTTGGTGTGATGCCTGCCCCAACCCCATAGCTCACACCAACAGCAGCGTCCTGGGGGCTGAGGGCAGCGGGGCCTGCTGGGAAACGGACGAGAGGCGGTCCCCATTGCTCCACTTTCTGCTCCTGGGGAACAGGATCCTCACCCCGTTCCCTCTACACGCACCTTGTGGGTGCTCACTTAACAACCGTCGAGTCAAATCAGGGTAGAGGACTTGGAGGGCTCCCTTCCTTCCTTCCTTCTCTGCACCCCTCGTGATCGCTGCTCTTCGCTCTGCAGGATAACTCGGCCCCCTACGGCTCCAGGTACGTGGGCTCCATGGTGGCCGATGTGCACCGCACCCTGGTGTACGGCGGGATCTTCCTGTACCCCGCCAACAGGAAGAGCCCCAAAGGAAAGGTAAACCGGCCCCCGAGGAGCAGGGTTTTGTTTGGCTCGGGAAGAAGAAGAAAAGGTTGGGATGGCGGCGAGCTTCTGGCGTGGGATGCCGACCATGTCCGCGGCGGGTTCTGATCTGGATGCAGGTGGTCCTGGCTGACGTCAGGCGGGGTCTGCAGAGCCCTTCCGCTGCTAACGAGCAGTGATGGTGGTCTGGTCGGGAGCGGCTGGAAGTGCTGGCTCTTCCAGTGGGCACGCGGTGTGGCTCGAGCAAAATAAATTCCACTCACGGAGAGAAATGAACCAGCCCGGCCCCATCACCGAGGCCGCAGATCAAATCCGCGTTCCAAGGAGAGGTTTTCTTTGATTGCATTCAAAGGGCATCAAATAGCAATAACTAACGAGCGGCCATTAGCGGCCTGGAAAGGGGTGCCTTTCTAGGGAACGAAAGCTCCTCCCGGAAGCCGTGGGTGAGCCGTTACACAACTGCCCCGGTTACTGCCCGAGGCGTGTGCGTGTGCGGGGCTGGGGGGCTGTGCGCCCCGCCGGCTGGTGGCCACACGTCTGCTGCATAGAGGGACAGTGCTGCCTTCCCAAGTACCGTCCTTTGTTTCTTCCTAACAGTCTTTTTTTCTTTCTTTCTTTCTTTCTTTTTTTAATATGAGAGAAGGAATTTGGACATACCCCTTTAAGATAGAAATCCTGTATTCAGGTCTCTGTTTACTGCACATGGTGTCCGCCTCACTGAAGACATTGTGTTCACGGAAAACACCACTCCTGCCACAGCCACCCCCCCCCCCCCCCACACACACACACACCCTGCCCCGCCTATGTGATTAGCTGCTTAATAGCACTTTTCCCTAATGCCCCCCAAATTGTTTTTTAACAGAAATGCTGAGGTTCCTTCTTTTTTCTTTTTCTTTTTTTTTTGGTTTTGCAAACTTGGCCATGACACCTGTATGGAAATAGAGGCAGGAAACACCTGCAAGGAGCTGTCTGCTCCGCAGGCGACTGCATGAAAACACGCACAATAAAAAAGTTAATATTTAAAAATAAATGCCAAGCCTTATAATATAGTAAATCCTAGCCCGCAAGCCTTGGGAGAATTATAAAAGGAATGTGTATAGAGCTGCAAACAATATCATACTGTTTGGAGGAGCCAGCCTGCTTTCCAGATGTCTGCAGCCAGACACAACCATGAATTCTTTTTATGCTTTTAGAATAGGCAAAGCTCCATCCAAAACACACAGAATCCCTCATTAGGCCCAGTCGCCGTGCCGTAAAGAACAGGGAACCGCCAGTTCTGCCAATATGTCATTCAGCCCCGAGCCCAGGTGCTCTGTCTCATATTCGCATCGAGCAGTCTATTCCTGCCTCTGGCTTGATGAATGGCTTAATTAACCAAATGGCTAACTTAACCATTTGGTCTTATATGCAGCCTTGAGGTGTGTGTGTGGGCGGGGATGGGGTGGGGAGGGGGATTTGAACCTTGGAAACTTCCACCAGCCCTGCGCTGTTTTGCTGTGGAATAAATCCTCTTTCTATGAAATACTTTCTGGTGTGAAGACGCAGCTCTGGGCTCTTGTTTTCCAGCTGAGACTGCTGTACGAAGGTAACCCAATGGCCTATGTCATCGAGAAGGCTGGAGGATTGGCTACCACTGGGAAGGAAGCTATACTGGACATCGTTCCCACTGACATCCACCAGAGGGCGCCAGTCATCTTGGGGTCCCCTGAAGACGTGACTGAGTTCTTGGAGATATATAAGAAGCATACTGCCAAATGAAGAGCTGACCTTGCCCTCATTAAAAACAAACAAGCAAACAAACAAACAAACAAACAAACAAAAAACACCTTTTATCTGGACTTTTACCTCGCATAGCGCCACGCCGTTCTGACTGCATTCTGCATTCCTAGGCAGCAGAAATAGAAAGCACAGGTATCTTCACCATCAAGTGCTCTGTAATGCGCCTGGTGCTGCCTAACCAAAATGCTATCTGTATAATGCTACTGGTGATCAAGATATATTTTGAATAGATAGAGGAGAAATAAACATATTTTTCCTTTTCCTAAAATGTCTTCATTGCTTTGTGTGAAATAATAGTAAAAGTAATAGTAACAGTCAATGCATATAACATTAGGTAACTCATTTAATCTTCACAGCAACCTAATGAATTAGGTGCTACGAATAACTCATTTTACCATGACATCATGTGGAGGACAGAGAGGTGAGGTCACCTGTCCCGGGTCTCCAGCCAGCGAGCCACAGAGTTCAGATGGACCTAGACAGTCTGGGCGCTACCCTCGGAGTCAGCCTACTGCTTCTCCTAACGTGTTGTCTGTGCAGATCTGCATGTGCAGACCTGACCCCAGCAAGGATGTTTATACCTCCGGGGGCTGGAGAGGTGAGGAGTTTGAGATGGTGCCTGTCTATAGCCTCTTGGCCTCCCGTACATGCACATAATTATCTAAGTCATAAGTGAAAGTTTATATCATTGCTGGTGGTGACTTTTAAAGATCTAATTACCATAAAGAAGAAGAATCATCATTAAAAGCAAAATTTATGGAAATAATAATATTGTTGCAAGCAAGTGAATTTCTTACTAGACTCTTTGTGTAAACATTTACTCCCCTTAGCTGACTCTGGTTCTTTCTGGACTAGAATTGCCAAGATCATGGCAAATTATACCAGGTTTTAGGAATCACTGGTCGGTTTTGTTGAGTTCTAGTTTCTTTCATTTTTAAAAATGTTTCAATTACAGTTTACATTTAATTATTTTTTGTATTTGTTTCAGGTGTACAGCAACTGTACAAGTTAAGCTCTTGATTTTATAACAATTGTTTGTTTTTACTTGGGAACTTGAAAAACGTTTTTTGTGTAAATCCTGCTTTTTTTGTTGTTGTTAATCCTTACCCAAGAATATTTTTTCCATTGATTTTTTTTTTTTGAGAGGAGGAAGAGGAAGAAAGAGAAACATCAATGTTAAAAAGACACATCAATTGGCTGCCTCCTGCACACACCTGACTGGGGCCTGGGATCAAAGCAGGAAAACCATTGATGTGAGAGAGACACATTGATTGGTTGCCTCCCCACACAAATACATTCAGCCAGGGTCTGGGGTTATATCTGAAACCCAGGTACATGCCCTTGTCCAGGAATCAAACCCATGACCCTTCAGTATTCAGGCTGATGCTCTAACCACAAGCAACACTGGCCAGCGTCCTGCTCCTTTTCCTTTAAATACACCTCATCAATTCCACAGTTTTCCAACAGGAAGCTTAGTTTGATCTTAAGCATCGGACCTGCTTTTATGCGCTGACTAGACCCCACGCCAGTATCTCCCCCCTCCCACTGAGGCTGGTCCTGCAGGAAAGTCCTCTGGCTCACACAGCACCTTTTGGTTTTTAACCAATTTGTCAGTTCTTATACCTTCTGGTTCTCCAAGCACCGAGGGAGATGTGTGGGTCTGGGAGCCGGATGGAAATGGTATGCCCCCACATCAGTGCCATTGTTTCCAGTGGAATGAGTGGATGTCTTTCTCCATTGCTAGTGGGAGTGGGGTTTCTGAGGTACTGCTGGATTAAGCATTCCAGAGGCCCCCGTGGGAAGATGTGATGTGACAGAAAACTTTATTTTTGTGCAATTACATCCTTGGGTTTCCAAAGACCTGCTTCCCTTAATCAGGCCCTAGAAGATGTGCAACGGGGGCTTCAGTAGAGCTACAAGCAAACCCGGTATCCATTTTTCTTTCCATGGTGGCATTGGGTCTGCACGGCCCCACACCCATACGTGTGAAGTCCCCGCAGCTGTGACTCATGTGGTCAAATACAGGGGAGCCAACAGAGTACGCCCCCTGCAGCAAGAGTCCCAGGAGCCCCCAAAACACAGGAGCCAAGCGTGTAGAACCAAGAGCGTGAACTCCTTCATTCAGGGGAGTAAGGATCTCAAACCTTCCCGCTCACAGGGGTCACCCCTGCTCTGGCCGATGACCTGTTCCCAGGTGTGACTGACAGGTACACCTTCCCATGTCACCCAATCCTCACTGCATTAGGATGCATCCATTCTCCCTGCCCAGCCTGCTGGAGCCAGCCCGGTGGCTCCCTGGACAGAGTTCCACTGCAGCCTCCAGGCAAAGCTGCACAAATGGTGTGCCTGTGTGATCTGGCCTCCCCTCTGCTCCGCTCCTGTTATTCCTGACTAGGTTAGTACTGCCGTGATGAAACACCATCCCAACAAACAAAACGCCCAGCAGACTGAAGAACAACAATTCCTCTCGGATCCCGATGCTGAGGGAGGACACAGGGCAAACCGCTGAGACCAACAGGGGTCATGGGTTTCTGGACGAGAGACTCACCAGGGGAAACCACCATGGGGACTAGTGCGTCAAGAGGACCTGAACTGTAATTGGCAAGTGGGCTCGGTGTGGGCAGGTCTGTGAGTTAAACATTCCAAACATGGGGGAGAAAAAGGGGGGAAGGGACCATTTTATTTTATTTTATTTTATTTTATTTTATTTTATTTTATTTTATTTTATTTTATTTGATGTAATAAATCTTTATCGTTCAAATTATTAAGGTGTTCCTCTCCCCCCCCCAATAACTCCCCTCCACTTGATTCCCCACCCCACCCCATGCCCTTACCCTCTGCCACTGTCTTCATCCATAGGTGTAAGATTTTTGTCCAATCTCTTCCTTCACCCCTCAGACTCCCTTCCCCCTGAGAATTGTCAGTCCACTCCTTCTATGTCCCTGATTCTATTATGTTCACCAGTCCATTTTGTTCTTCAGATTTTTTATTCACTTGATTTTTAGATTCACTTATTGGTAGGTACGTATTTGATGTCTTTTTGTTGTTCATAGTTTTTACCTTTACCTTTTTCTTCTTCTTCCTCTTCTTAAATACCCTTCAGCATTTCATGTAATCCTGGTTTGGTGATGATGAACTCCTTTAGCTTTTTCTTGTCTGTGAAGCTCTTTATCTGACCTTCAATTTTGAATGATAGCTTTGCTGGGTAGAGTATTCTTGGTTGTAGGTTCTTGCTGTTCATCATTTTGAATATTTCTTGCCACTCCCTTCTGGCCTGCATAGTTTCTGTTGAGAAATCAGCTGACAGTCATATGGACACTCCCTTGTAGGTAACTAACTGTTTTTCTCTCGCTGCTTTCAAGATTCTCTCTTTATCTTTTGCCCTTGGCATTTAATTATGATGTGTCTTGGTGTGGTCTCTTTGGATTCTTCTTGTTTGAGGTTCTGTGTGCTTCCTGGACTTGTAAGTCTATTTCTTTCACCAGGTAGGCAAAGTTTTCTGTTATTATTTCTTTCAATAGGCCTTCAATATCCTGCTCTCTCTCTTCTTCTGGCACCCCCAAAATCCGGATGTTGGTACGCTTAAAGCCGTCCCAGAGGCTCCTTACGCTATCCTCACAGTTTTGGATTCTTTTTTCTTTCTGCCTCTCTGGTTGGATGTTTTTTGTTTCTTCATATTCCAGATCTTTGGTTTGACTCTTGGGGTATATTGATCTACAGTTGAATTTCTGTATATTCTTTATTTCAGACAGTGTATGCTTAATTTCTAACTGGTCCTTTTCCATTTTTTTGGTATTCTCATTACAGTCCTTGAAGGTCTCTTCAAGTTTCTCAGCGGTTTTTAGAACATTCTTGAGTAACCTTATAAATGTCATTCTGAACTTTGTGTCATCCAGTAGTTTACTTTCCTCCATCTCTCTCATTCATGACATGCTTATGTGTCTCTGCATTTTGGCTGCCTCCCTATGTTGATGGAGTGGCTTTGTGTGGTAGGTGACCTATAGGGGCCAGTAGCTCAGCTTCCCAATCACCCGAGGTGGTTGCTCTTGGTAAACCCCTTTGTGGGCTGAGTGGAAAGTCTTGGTGTAGTTAAACCTTGATTGCTGTTGGTACGCTGGGAGAGATTGACCACCAGGCCAATTGGCTGTGAGGACCAGCTATGTCTATAATGGAAAAACTGCTGCACTGCAGACACACTTATGGTGCAGGCCTTATTTCAGTGGGGCTTTAGTGATCACTGGGTCTGCTTCCCGAATGTGTCACTTAGGATGTGAGGAGTTGAAATCTGGTGTCTCACACTGACGACTAGGTACACTGGCTTCTGGATCTTCAATGGGGTGCAGTTTAGTTACTGTCAGAGGCCACCCTGCAGGAGCTACAGTGAGAACCACAGTCCTCTCCTACTTTGGTAGGTTAAACAGCAATAGAGAAGGCCATTCATATGCAAAAGCTGCTGCTTGGAGCTTGGGTGTGTTTGTAGATTGTGTGGGATGTAGTCTCAGGGCAGAGTCTCAGGGTGTCACTAGGCTGGGGCATGGCCAACAGCCATGGCTGACAGTAGGGACCATTTTGAAAAACATCAGAACACTGTGCTCTTCACAAGGCCAGCCCTCAGGGAAAATGAGTTAGCCAGTGCCTCACCTGGTCTTACCAGAGCCTGATGGACCTGGGGAGGGGAAATGCCTAATTCCAGCCCACTCCACCATCCTGTCTCAGCTGAGGGGAATGAGGGGGGCCAAGCTGAGAAACACTATGAAGTTCACAGTCCAGAGCCATAAGCTCACTGAAATATGGAGACCTCATCACAGGACTGTAGAACACTTCCCTCCCCCACCTCACCATCACATTACAGAAAGCCATTTACAGTAGTTCCTTTTACCCAGTACATCAGTACACCTATCAATAAAAAGTTGCAAAGCATACCAAAAGCAAGACACACATTGAAAAGTAGCAGAGCAAGCACCAGAGCAAGACAAGGCAGGGACATTGGAATTATCAAACTAGGAATTTTAAACAATCATGATTAATATGCTAATGGCGCTAAGTGATCATGTAGACAATAATCAAGAACAGATGGACAATGTAAGCACAGAGATGGATATCCTAAAAAAAAGTAAAAGAGAAAGAAGAAGGAAGGAAGGAAGGAAGGAAGGAAGGAAGGAAGGAAGGAAGGAAGGAAGGAAGGAGGGAGGGAGGGAGGGAGGGAAGGAGGGAGGGAAGGAAAAGGGAGAGAGAGAAAGAAAAGAAATGCTGGAAATTAAAAATTAC